TTATAGACTCCTTCGGTAAAACATAAAATAAAAAAAATTTGACTGGGCCTTCAGTTTTGTTTCCCTTCAAGGTCAGTCGGGCAATTAACCCCACTATCCCCACTGTAGATTTACCCCAGGTTTGAGTTGTATATTTTATTCCGGAGCCAAATTACGGGTAGATGAGTGTAAAATTATCATCTTTGACAATTATATATTTTATTGTATGGTTCTATGATTAGAGAATGAATTTTTAGAAAAGTTTCTTTGAGTATAGAAGGAAAGTTGTCTTTTTATCCTAATTTGCCTTCCATCTATGGGTTTTCAGTTTATTTTTGGTACAAAATGATGTTGATGATGAATGTTTATGATGGTTAAATGGGTTTTCAAGATCAGATTACAAACTTGGTGTAGAAAGGTTGTTTGTTGCAGCAAACTTAGGCAGAGTAAGGTTTATGTTATTCTCAAATCGGGAATAGATGAGTAGAAAATATCTTGTGCAAGACTGTGCGAGTACAACCTTGCAAATGAGGTTCTACTTTTAGAAGAGAGCAATAGGATGAATGTGATAATGGATTCAATAAGCGGGTTGTGTAGCACAATGGTTGCGAACATTGATTAAATTTCTAGATAATTTTTTTTGAGGATAGATTCTAAATGCAACGATTTATTTAGATGTGATTATTAGAAAGGTTTTTTATTAGCTTAAGGTTGTCCTTAATATTGCCAACAGGATATTTGTAAGAACTATATATGTTTTCATATTTCCTACCTAAAATGTGTATGATGCTAGCATGCCTTGTTTTTGCAATGCTACATGAGGTGATGTGGAAGTTTTTTAATGTAGTGTTGTATTTGGATGTCATAACTTAAACTGATTCAGGTTAGGCTGACGTAGGATACAGACTTAGCGTACTCTATTTTAAGTGGATAAAGGATAATGCACTCTGGCCATAAATGGACCAAATATTGCTAAAGACTTCTTAAATATTAATATAGGCTTTAAATTTGTCTGTTTATGTTGCTAGGATATGAATATATGAGTTCAATATGGGATCAGTGTTGTAATAGTGGCCAATTGCGGTCGCAATGCTAGCGACTGTTGCCCTTGATGATTTTGGTTATATCGGTGAGAAAAGTGTTAAAGATTCTTATTCATTCAAAATAGCAGAGAAAAGCGCAAAATGGCGCTCAAAAGCAGTTAATAGCGTTTAAAAGCGCTTTTGAGCGATATTAGCGCTTTTTAGTTGATTTTATAAAAAATCTGACCGGAATTAAATATGAACCCATTTCAACTTATAAAACGCACTCTCTTTCTCTTCTGTATTCGACTGTCTCTGTCTCTTTCTCAAAAAACCCTAACCAAACCTTCACTTTTCTTTCTCTTCTATGTTCAATGAGCTCTAGCTCCACTGCATCCCTCCACCATTTCTCCGCCTCCTCTACAAATCCTCCAACTCCTCAACGAACTCCATCTCCTCTCCTTGACGTTGCAACAAACAATAGTTTCCTTGACGAGCTGCATATCCATCTCCTTCCCTCTCCAGATCCTCCAACTGCCTCTGGTTTGTCTCCTCGACGAAGCCTTGTTCTTGCATCAAATTTTCTTATTTTTTAGAATTTGTAAATATATTTAAATTGGATCGCTATTTGATTATGCGTTATTTACCGCTATTTGCGTTGCCGCTATTTTAGCGTTATAGGCGCAAATAGTCTTAGCAGTGCCTCAACGCTACGCGACGCTATCCGCTATCGATAAACTTGTATGAGGTTAATTTCACAAAAGTCCTCCAATTTTTTTTTTTTTGGGGGGGGGGTTGGTTCGCATAATCCCCCTAAAGTTTATTCATCTCACGCAATCCCCTAAACTTTTGGGTGTCTCACAAAACTGTCTGGAACTTTAAAATTTTCTCACTGGAGCCCCTTACATATAATTTACAGATAACTAATTTTCCTGAGAGAAAAAAAAAACTTTAGGGGAGTCGCCTGTAAATGATAAATGACAAAGTTCGGGATCTTTTCTCTCAAATTTTTTTATTATTTTTTACAAATTACAAGTAGGGGTCCACTAAGAATGTTGAAGCTCAGGTAGGTTTTATGAGACACCCAAAGTTGAGAGGGGTTATGTTAGATGAATGAAGTTCCAGGGGAGTTGTGTGAAAACCCCAAGTCAGGGGTTTTGTGAAATTAACCCTTCAAAATATCATTTAATAATTTTCCTCTATTCGGAATTGAGAATTTGAGCTCCTTTATGGTGGGATTTGAATACGAGAAGAGGGGAGGGGAGGGGAGGGGAGGGGAATTATTATAATAATCCAAAAGAGAAGAAGCGGAAAGAGGGGTGTGATAAAACTAATTGTGTTTGGATAGACAACTAGGGGAAGAGAGGGGTGCACTATAATTTGTGTTTGTTTAGAGAAGTGAATAGGGAGGGAAACTACATGACAAAGATGACTTAAGTTTTGGGGTGAACTTCAAATTTCAAGGAAAAATCACTTAAACTCAATCCCTCCCCTCCCAATCCGTCCACTTATGGAGGGTTAGTAAAGTGATGAAATTTTCTGCTTTTTAACCCTCCTAATCCTTTCCTCACTTATTAAAATGTAAATAAACGCAAGTTTTGGGCAGTTATCAAATCAAATCAAGAGAAGTTGTGAAGTGCATCTGTAGTTTTCTTTGATCATAGAATATCTATGAAATTGAAGAGATTTTTTTTGTAGGACAGTTCAAGATCACACAATGCTTTATGGATAGGAATGTTGCACAATAAAGAAATGGTTTATGTAGAAAATGAGTGTAGCAGAATAAGAATGTTAGGATGAAGATGAACATTTGAATATGTACTGAGAGGTAAAATAAGAAACTAGTGTACTCATAGAAAATTAGATATTGTTCCCTTTGAGGATAAAATGAAGGAAATTTTGGGATGGTCTGGTCATTCACAATGTGACCCAATTACCAATTAGAAAAGTAATTTGATTATAACTAATGAAGCAAAAAGGACTTAAAGTTGGCCAAGAGAACTTGATTATGAGCAGTCAAAAAGGTTATGATAGTGGTTAATTTAATTGAGGAGATAACCCTTAATAGAACCGAACGGAAGAACATGATTCATGTAGCCAATTCCCAAAAGTTGTAATAATGAGTTTGTTGTTGTTGTGTTCTTGTTCTTGTATATGCGTGACTGGAGAAGCCTCCTCTTTTTATAACTTCAAGAGTACCTTTATGACTCAATGAGCAAGACTGCTAAAGAATTTTCAAAAAACACAAGCAAGTTATCGTCTCCCAAGTACTATTTGATAATTCAATGATGCCATCTATGTCATGAGATTTCTAAGCAAATTACTAGATTCACAAGGATCACTGGAATCAAAGAGCATGGAGATTATTTTTGTTTCCAATAGTATCTCTTTTTGCAACTTTCAACAAATACATAAATGCCTCACATTTCCTGTTTGCTTTCATGAATGTTTCTGTCATATTTGTTCTGCAGCTTTGTGATGCATCATCTAAATTCTATTCTTGACGACGGCACAGACATAAAGTTCTCTCATGGTGAACTTCCATACAAATACACTCATTCTATTTTTGGAACCTTTCTTTGTGTATTAATAAAAAGTTATGTTAATTTATTATGACGATGATGTCTATCAATCTTCTATCATATTGCACAGATTGTTGGATTGTATTTTCCTTTCTGAATTCTCAATGTATTGGTACTTGGTTCCTGGTGCTTTCTTCTCTCACATCACACCTGAATCAATAACTAAGTTGATTTGTTTTCCAGAGTATGATTCGGTTTGTTTTGTAGCCATAATAGCTTTTATGTTTGATGTGGATGCTACCACACTTCAGTTTGGGTAGTTTGTATGTTTTTTTTTTTAGCCATAATAGCTTTTATGTTTGATGTGGATGCTACCACACTTCAGTTTGGGTAGTTTGTATATTTTCTGATATCACATAATCTCAGGGCATATGTTTATTGAAGGGGATGCACATTTGTAGGCACTCTTTATGTTAGTAGGGCATCCTATAGGATCACTATTGGTATATTAGGATAAGCTTTGTGTTTGGTTGCCTTATATTGAGCATAATGATGCAATTTGACAGTCGAGAAAGCAGGTTTAAAATATGCTCTGGTAGTGATTAAGTGTATTGCTACAATATGGAGCAGAAAGAAAATGTGTGGAGATCCGTTTACATTTTTCACAATTCTGATACTCATTTCACTTGTTTATCTATCAAGGATAATCTCACATTTCATTGTTCGTAACTTCTAATTATAATTTTTAATATTTATTTTTTTAGAATAATGTGATTATTAGAAATGAAACAAAAATAACCTTGCATTCAGGGTAGGATCTGCTGTAGTGCTAGTGGGTTCAACTATCCCCACGGCCACTTAAGGGGAATGGAACTGGAAGCTCAGTAAGTTTTCTATTTTTTATTTACCAGAGGGACCTGTTGGGTTCACACAAAAAAAAGGAAATACGGGATGGAGGTGAACAATAGCACCTTTTATGTGTGTGATGTTTTGGGAACTAAAGTTGGGTTTAGATTTTGTCTTTTTTGAATGTCGATGAACAACAAAATTCACGTAGGAGGCGTTGGGGTGTTGGTTGTTTCTTTGGAAAAGGTGGGAGTTTGGGTGTTTTATTTTGTCCTTTGGAAAATAAGGGGCAGTGAGTTAATTGATGAAAAGGAATGGTGAAGATGATTTTAATAAAGAATTGTATGGCTAAAATCATATTTGTAGGGTATAAAATCCTATTTCTACTGAAATTCAAAAAGAAACAGGCTTGTATTCCTGTTACAATTCGAGCTCAAAAATAACTATATCCTAATTCAAATCAAACTCATAGAACTTGAGTTCAAACTAACTCTAAAATCCTAACGAAAAATTCAAATATAGAAATTGAATTGCGAACAACCCTATCTACTAGTAATGTATCAGATAGATTCTTCAGCTTTGTTCTGCATCAGTTACATGCAGACTTCTGCATGCATTAAATTTAAACACCCATATACTAGTATTTGCATCAGATAAAATCTTCGAATCTGTCCTGCATCAGACCCTCTTAAGGATTATACTTAGTATTAATCCTCTATATCAGTTTGTGCCCACACTATTTGCCCTATTGACCCCCTAGCGCCCCAAATTTTTGGAAAATAAACACTTGTATTTGTAATGGTGTTAGGTAAAAAAAATCATATGCTAAATATACTTGTAGTCTTGCCCCAGTGACTAAAGTTTATGGATCTACCCCTGCTAGCATGGATGGGCTCTTTTATGATGAACTAAAGCTAAAAACAACTTATGCAACTTAAGGCCTTAGGAGTAGGCCAAAATCTACAGGCAGGAAGGAGGTTGCCAAGAGATGGTAAATATCTTTGAGGATTTGGCTGCATAAGTTACGATTCCTCACATAGAAATGTGTACCATGCATTGTGCATGGGTTGTTTTCTTTACATATGACGGTAGTGCCTACATAAGTTGGCATTCAACATAGATGTTAGGTACAATTTTCATGGTTAATTTGAAGATAGACACCTTGTACTGTAAGCCACCTATATCCCTTAAAAATATTTTACTAGCACTTAGACCCCTTGTATTCCAGATGGTATTATTCTCCCAGTGTGTTGAGATGTCACGTGGGAATTACCTGACTATAAATTACCATATTCCCTTTAACCGGAAACTGCCCTGTAAATTGAGGGTAACCATCGTGTTCAGGGGGTAAATGCTAATACAACAGTTTAGATGGTGCAAGTGGCTGCACCACCATAGGACAAGAGGTGTATCTGCCATTAACCCATATTTTTATCCTGGATTGAAGTTCTTGTATACGCATCAAAGTTTTCACTGATTAAAGATTTCCTTTTGTTATTCAGTGCAGAGTATTCACTGATTAAAGATTTCCTTTTGTTATACAGTGCAGTTTTCCGTAGTTCAAAGTCAGCAATGGATTGGGCCCGAAGTAGCAAGTACTTTCATCTCCTTGTGAGGGGAGTAGAGAGAGATGGCTGGAAATTTGTTCTTCTTGCTCGATTCTCCCCAATTCCCTCTTACGTCATCAACTATGCGATGGCTGCCACAGAAGTTAGCTTCTTGATCGATTTCCTTCTTCCTACAGTCATCGGTTCCCTTCCCATGATTCTACAGAATACATCTCTAGGTAGCCTAGCCGGTGCTGCAGTTGCTTCTTCTACTGGCCCAGAGAAGTCCAAGCTCTCTTCATACGTATTTCCTTTGCTTGGAATTGGGTCAAGTATTATGATATCATTAAGAATCAAGAAGTACTCCTCTGGGATTGCAGTTGCTGAAGAGCTCAAGTCATCTTCATCTTCTGAGATAATTAATGGTGGTCAAGTAGATGGGAAATTGAAGAAAAGTGATTAAAAATTTAGCTTTAGTTGATAAACTTGTTTATTTGGTAACAATTGAATTTATTGTACGAAGTGCAATGCTGGGAAATTTTCTCATGACAAAAAACGTGCAATCTACTGACTTGTTTTTGCTTAAGCTGTGTACCTCCTGAAATGAATCTGATATTTATCCATTTACCGTTATGCCCTTATCCTACTGTACTGTGAGCAAACATATTTATTTGATACGGATGTGTTTCTGCA